AACCAATACAAGCCATGATTTCCATGACCTGCACTGATGATGGCCAACAAGCCTGGCCATGGGCAAAATGAAATCATTTGCATGGCTCTGTCCACTATCCTGCAATGAGGAATAAATCCCTTTTTTTAGATTTATATTATTCTGTTTTAATAAGTCTCTACTGCTTCAAACTGGAGAGTGGAGGGTATTTTAATTACTTTACAACCAGGCTAAAAATTTGAGGTTTTGAAATCGAAACTGCTCATCATCACTTCCAGAGTATTTCTACTATTTTGGGTTGTCCAGTGATCCAAACAAAAAGGTATGCTGCCTCCATTAAAAGGACTGCCCACAGAATTAAGGGAAAGGTTGCGCTGGGTCTTGACACACAAAATTTTAACAAGGCCAGATGGCTTTCTTGCTATTCATGGTTCTTAGCAAGAAATCTGCCTCAGTATGGCAGTCTTTACTGTCAGTCAAAAGCTTTATATTTTTGTAGTAATATTGAGGCCAGAAGTCTATAATTCCAATACTTTAGCAATTCTAATATTTTAGCAATTCTCATTTTACCACTAATTTTTTATATAGTGACAGCATATTCTGCAGCACTTTAGAGAACGCTGCAATCATCAAATATGTTCCTGTCTCCAAAAGAGCTTGCAATCTAGTGGTTGTATATACAGGAAGGCCAATCTAGCTGGAGGCTTCATTAGCATTCTACTATGAAGAAGCTAGAGCTAGCAAGGAATTCCGTGCAAACACTCTGCAGTGTCTTGATGGGATTTGATCCCAGAACCTGAGCATTGAAAGTGAAGAGGACACTGTGCTGCCTATCTAAAAGTCTATTAAACAAGAATACTGCCCACAACTCCAGACTTCTCTACCATGGTTGACATCACAGTGATTGCAAATGCCAGATGGAAAACTAAAACGAACTGACAACTGATGTAAACAAATAGGTAGGAATGGAAGTGACCATTTGTATGTTTTTCCTAATCTGTTTGTGTTGCTTGGTATTGGCACATAGGCCGATGTCTCCCAGCAGCGCTAACTGCTTTCCAATACTAGATCTAAAGCACTTCGCCTCAGCAGCCTTAATAACTCTTCCACTGATTTCTTGCTCAAGCTTTCCATTAGCTTCTCTATCAATTGATGCTTAGAGAAAAGTCAGCTCAGCACCTTCCCCTGGAGATCAATAGTCTCTTTATTGTGACACCCACAATAGCAGTAGAGTGGTTATTATTTTTAGATATTTTGCAGATAGGAAGCACCATCAAAGCTCTATTTCGAATATGTTGCTGCTCCAGGAAATAGTGCACAACTCAGCAGGACTATTATGTCTGGACATTCAATGTTATACAAAGTAGTAATACAAAGACGCAATGTGCTAAAGTTTTTTGATTAGGTAAAACCAAGACAGGCAGATAGTTTTAACTGGAGTCGATTGTTGTCTTATGTGACGGAATACGAATGTGAAATAGGAGGGAAATGTTACAAATGTGTGCATGACAAAAAAAGAGAGCAAGTGATTTGTCTGAGAAGGGGTGTAGCTTTAAAATGGGGCTGGATTTTCCTGAAGGTGAACAGATTACCCAGTGAGTTTAGCCAATCAACCTATAAAACTGACTAACTATGAAAGACTGCCATGATATTAAGACAGATTGATACTAAGACAGATTGATACATCATGCAGACTGCCATGTTAAAGTCCCACTTTATTACTAACCACATTGGCGCTGCAGTGATTGTGGCCATAAAACTACTACTCCAAAAGATTCTACGAACAGTTGAGTGTGCATGCGTCCCCCTATCCTGGCAATGCTAGGCTACCTTCTGGTTCTAGAAGATTGAAGTGCACAGCAAGAACACACGGTTTACATCAATAACAGAGAGGAACTGCTCTGCACAGATCTGCATGCAGAATAATGACATTAAGATGATCATTAAAAGATGATTCGTCAATATCCATGGAATGGCGCAAAGGCCTGCCTAATCAATTCATATTTAATCAGACCCCTGCAATATATAGCTGTTCATAAATCTAAAATATAACGTATAATCAGATTGCAATTTATGTGACTGAGAGCCATATTATGCAATATATGTTTTATATACTCTCTTCTTCAAATTTTAGGATCAATGGATCTTATGTGTGCTCCCACAATTTAGATGTATGTATTTAATAATAAAATCAGACTGTAACAAGCATGGCCAGATCTCTTCAAAGCAAGCACCATGCACAAACCTTGAAAATCCAAACCTAAATCCAAAGTAAATTGATTTCACCATTCCAAACGATTCATTCAAGAAATGGTACAAAAAAAAAAAAAAATTTGGAGGGGGAGGGGGCTTTTGTAGTTTTACAACTTAGAATTAAAAAATTGGAATTTGCATGATATGATTTATGCAACATGATTAAACAGTAACTAAAATTTTTGACCACCTACCCACTAACCTGTAATGAGTCCTGTAATCCTTGATAGGCCACATACAGTACCTGTCCCTGCTCAGCTGAGCTACATTTTGTGTCATCTGACTGGTGCAACACCACCTGTAGTTAAAGCTACAAAAAAAAAAAATGGAAGCTCTGCTTTTCTGCCTCCGTCCCCCCTCCGCTGACACATTTGGCACCTTTTGGGGGGGAGGGGGGTACCTGACAGGTAGCCACTCCCACTTCCGGCTCGCTTAGCTCGCAGCAGTGAACTGAGCCGGAAGTTCTCCCCACCCCGCAGCACTCCGGGACACTTACAAGGTCCCAGAGGACTGCGGTCCATTCACAAAGCACAGCATGATTCATGCAAGCGCAGCAGGAAACCACCGGTGAAGCCGCAAGGCTTCACTACTGGTTTCCCTTAGTCAAGATAGCAGCGCCAGCACCCAACAGCCGATTGAAGAACCAGCTCGGGGTGAGGACACTGTTGGATCCCTGGACAGGTAAGTGCCCTAATAGTAAAAATTAGCAGCTATTTGTAGCTATTTTTAAATTTTTTTTTTTTGGGGGGGGGGGGGACAGGAACTCAGCTTTAACACCATTCATGTGATAAGGCTCTCCCTTTGCACAGCTGAAACTTGCCATATTTTTCATTTTTTGGCAAACTGTACTGGCTAGGCACCATCAGTGGGCAGTCATATTTAAGCTTGCAACACATTTTCAATTTAAAGCCTGGGTATTGAAATGGCCATTCTGTGACATTCATGTGTTTGGCTTAAACCACTCAAGTGTTGCTTAGGCTAAGTTTATAGTCATCATTATGCTGGAAGGTGAACCTGAACCCATCTCAGGTCCCTGGCCGACAAAAACAGGTTTTCCTCTAGAATTGTCCCTCAACAAAGACCAGTCTCCCAGAAAGGGTTACAAGAAGTCTCTGTCTACAAAACATGCACTGTTGTCATTACCAATAGAAAGAGAAATCTGAATTGGCTGGCAGTAATATAAAGTCAAGGCTGACTGGTTAACACTTGCTAGCTCATATTCAAGGGAAGGAAAACAATAATTTATGATTGACGCATACGTAAATAACTTTCCTCTTTCATCTGCAACTTGATGCATTTCAGATACAGTGAAGGAAAATGGGTGGTGTTTAGGCAACATTCAGAGCTTAGACCACAGCCTTATATAGGGGGAGATTTATTAAAACTGGTGCACTCACAATCTGGGGCATCTGTGCATGGTAGCCAATCAGCTTCTAACTTCAGCTTGTTCAATTAAAACCTGGAAGCTGATTGAATTCGATGCACACTTGCACCAAATTTTCTACTCTCCAGTTTTAGTAAATAACCCCCATAGTATTTTACAGTGAAACAATACTAGGCTCAAAACAGTGTTTCTCTTCCTTTTTTCACTCAAGGCACTTTTTAAAATTATGGACCATCCCGAGGCACCCTGTAAAATTATGGACAGTCTTGAGGCACCCTATTCTAAAATGGGGTGCCTCTAGACCACAGATGTCAAACTGGCGGCCCTCCAGCTGTTGCCAAACTACAAGTCCCATCAGGCATTGCAAGACTGACAGTTACAAGCAAAAGGTAGAGGCATGAAAGGGCACCCCATTCTAACTTGTGAAAAACTATTCTAATATAACGCAGTAACATCCACACTTGTAGGACACCCAACATTAGAGGTGATTTATTCTTCCAAAGAAAATATACTTTTGCACACTGGTACAGATTAGTATTCCAATGTTTCTCTTCTCCCTCAGTTTTTCTCCATCACTGAGCTAATGTGACCCCAGCACTGATGGAGAGGGGCAGGGGAGGGTCAAATTAGGATGCTGTGCAGGCAGCTGATATCCTCCCTATCAACTGATGATCTCATTGGTTGTCGGGCTGCCGGCTAGAAGGTCGTAATGGTGCACAATGAAAACCTGTGGCTTTGTGCAACTAAAAGGTGGGCTTGTTGCACCCGCTGGATTTTATACCAGTTTTGGGCAATTTTTAGACATTTTGCCAAGGCACCCTGGTTGTGAAAGGCTGGCTTAGAAAATGGTGTTACAGTCTTCAGCTGGACATTTACCATGGGGAGCAAAATAACCTATGAACAAAATTCCCAAAAAAAAAGGTAGAGAGAGCCCATTATAACTGCATTAAAAGACTGGAGTTCTTCATTAGTAAAGAACAGAAGACGATACGCCAACATATTCTACTCCAATGAAACGCATGAGAATCAACTGAGGCATTAGTAAGAGAAGGTGACTTTCCTGCCGCTGCACGTCACATGAAAATGTCCGCAGGCTTTTTATCCATGGGAGCTTCTGGCTGAGGTATATGCACAGCTAGCACACAGGAAACACAGTGCTGCTCCCCTACTAGCATACACAGATTTTCCACTCTTACAGGTGAAAATATTATGCAAGATTTATCATTTTTATAGCCTTTCCAAGCAGCAAGAATTACAACTTGTAGGAGAAAAATCAGCATGCACAGTAATGTAGATATATTTATGACTAGGAGGCTTGCGTGGAGTTGCCATGGAGTCAGAGCACCGTTTCAAACACAGCGTCTTAAATGAATACCATGCTTACCAGATGGAGACATATATTCAGCGTTTGCCCTACAAACCACCTGGACTGGCAGATTGCACATTTGTAAGAAGGCCTGAAAGACATTGAAAACAGAAATAAAGCATTTGTGGGCTGATGGCAGAAAAACAGATATCAAAAGACAATATGTAGCGGATCATTAAACATGTTTACTAAGACTTCCAGTTCTCTGTAAATTTCTATTATATGCACAAAATCTGAAGCATTATACAAAGTCACAAACTGCAGATAAACAGTCAAAACTATCAAGACTTGATGAACCCATGAGGACATAGAAACACACTGAGATCTGGGTTGTGAGCTAATGACTGTAGATTACACCAAAGAGAAATTCAAATGATGGGTATGGTCTGTAGTTGGGGAGACACATAGGAAAAACAGTCATCTCGCGCAGATTTTTGTTGGTTTTATTGGACTTTCTTGTTCAGTAAGTTCAACAAACGCATGTCACCCTTCTTCAGGGCTAGTATATAAAGAACAAGTGTGTGTGTGTGTGTGTGTTACATACACACATAAATGTTATGTTTATTTAAATGGATACACACACGAAATTAGACCATAACAGTACAATGTAAAAATATATACATGTACTGTATATATCAATAAATATTTTGTTTTTAATATTTTAAATTATACTGTGAAGTATGAATTAATTCAATGTATTAGTATTTATTCTTTAAAAAAAAAAATAAAATTATGCTCACCTTGGTGGTTTGCAGCACCTTCAGCGATCCGATGCTAAATCTGTACCCTGCTGCTCCTAAGACCAAGAACTGAGCAATCAAAGACTGAATGTTTAGTTCTCAGTCTTCAGTCTGCATATATCTGATGTGCAGTCACCGGCTCTCTGCTCTGCCCCTCCAGCACTCACTGGAGCGCCCGGGAAGTACAGGGGATGGGATTGGCTGGCTCAGGCTCTCAGCGGCTTCCTGAAAGGCTGAGACAGCTGTCGGCCAGGCATTTGGGTGGATCCCGACTTAAAAGTCAGGATCTTTCCAGAACCTGGACCGGATGAGTGATGTCAGCCAACAGTGGACTGTAGCCCAGTGTCAGCTGCAAAGGGGTCACGGGAGTGTAGAATGAACTGCACTCCTGTGATCCGTAGGAGAAATACGGGAAAAAAAAAAAAAAAAAAAAAAAACTTTAGCCATACTTCTCTTTTAAGTGCTCCCAACTACATAGCCATCATTTGTTGTTCTGGTGAGCAATTCCACCACCATTATCAGAAAAGCAGCAGCCTGTGACCTAACTTGGCTCAAACTTAAATGATTAAAATCACATGTCTCATTGTCATTTAGTGTGGACCTATTCTGTTTTCATGCAGCAAAAAAGCATTTTACAGCATGAAGATACATTTGAAGGGGAAACTTCATTCTTTCCTACGGGGTTGCAGTTTAGCATGGAAGGAAAACAAACTATATGGGCCCACGGAACAGTGTGAATCCACCATGTATGTTTACCAAAATTTAAACATTTGCAGACATGATATCAAGTTCTGCTCCAAGCACCCACCATCCCCACCCCATCCTTGAATGTTAAAGTGATTGTAAAGGAAAAAAATGTTTAAATAAAATCTCTATACTTACCCGCTCTGTGCAATGGAATTGCACAGAGTGGCCCTAAACCTCCTCTTCTTGGGTCCCCCGTTGGTGCTCCTGGCTCCTCCTCTCTGTCCAGTGCCCCCATGGGAAGCCGCTTCCCAGAGGGGGCACTTTTGCAGGCTCGCTCCTGAGCCCAGCTGCTGCATCAATTGACACAGAGAGTGGGACTGGGCCCCGCCCCCCCCATCACTAGCTTTGACAGCAGTGAGAGCCAATGGCTCCCATTGTCCCAGCAAAGCCAGTGAGACACAGAGGTGAGGGGAGACAAAATCTGCAGATTGGCACAGCACCTGATCAAATGGGGGCTCAGGTAAGTAAAAGGGGGGTGATGGGCCAAAACTGAAACATAAACATTTTTTATCTTAATGCAAGGAATGCGTTAAGGTAGAAAATGTTTAGGCTTTAGAACCACTTTAACTGTATTGAATATACAAATGTAACAATGTCCCACAGTCATGCAACAGGAAACGAGGAGATCAAATGATGTAATAGCCAGCATATTAACAATGGGTCTCTTAAATGGAAACAAAATCCGAATTGTTACATTTTTACATCAGAATGTGGGAATTTTTGCACCAAATTAGCTATAAATAACAATATTTTTTTTGTCTCTACTCTCAAGGCGAACATCTGAAACACCCACTTCCACAACAAATCTTCCTTCTTCAGCTAGCATTGCATGATTAATGCAATATTAATAAGTGGCCAATAACTGAAGTCTAGTCTCAGTCTGAATTATTTTCTATGCATCATGTGCTGTTTCAGGATGGCTCAGGAGACACTGTGTCTGCATTACAGTGGGCTCTGTGAAGATGATCTAACAGCTTTCAGACTTGTAGTTATCAAACAATGGATAATAGAGTCCGACAGCATCGAAATGACAGAACTCTGCTTGTACAGCCAAAAGGAAGCAGGGCAAAATAGATACTTGCAATGCATTTCATGTCTCCTAATGCCTTTATTCATTTGACATTTACTCTTCCAGTTTAATGCTGGAAGCATAGATTTTGTATACAAACCTAAATTAATTTCTTAGAAAGTGGACCCACATGTGAACTGTTCAATGGATGCAGTACCAGACTTGTATTCAAATAGTACTTATGTTAACAATCTAGATAATTAACTACTTGAGTCCCAGTCTGTAATACTCTTTCATTATCAGGACATTTTTCAGTGCTATGATATTTTGACCATATTTTTACTTCATCATGCAACACTGTACCCAAATAAATTCGATATTTTTTTAGACAGTTTTCTTTTTGAGGTATTAATTACTGTTTTATGTAACTATTAAAAAAGAAAAAAAACAGGGTTCCCTTGCTTTCCCCTATAAAACCAATCAAATAAAAATGCCAGGGTGGTACAAAACCTCCAAAAATGACTCCTTTCTGGAAAGCTGACAGCACAAGGTGATCTAATTTTTTTGGCACAATTTAAAAAAAAAAAAAGAATAAACATGCTGGTATTGAGGGGGTTACAACATGGAGCTTGGTAACAGTACATTAGCACACAGTGCTTCATAGGTCACACACAGAGGTAGAAGAAGGGGTTAATGTACAGGTCACATTCAGTGGCAGGATGGAGATGCGGGGGATAACATGCAGATGTGCAGGATAAGGGAGTGATGGGATTAATATACAAATCATACACAGAGAGAGGCTGGAAATCAGGTATGTAGGAGAGGTGGGGGGGGGGGTAAAAAAAAAACAAAAACACACTCAGTGAAATGAATAAATGACCAAACGAATTAATGCATCAGTAGCAGCTGCTGATCCATTTATTACTTGCAAGGATTAGTATGATTTATTTCTTCTTCCTCCATTGTAGGATGAAGGTGAGGGATCAACAATGTAAACAGTATTGTGTTTACATTTGTAATCACTGTGATTGGTCATAACAGTGACCACATGGTGGTAGAGACACTCAGATTGATTCTGTATATGGTGTCTGTGAGCCAAGCTATCTGACAGCAATTATTGGGCTCAACAGTTGCCACGGGTAATTTCTCCAGCAGCGTTTATAAACAATGCTAGGGAAACAGAGTCCACCCCTCCGCTAGTCATACAGGTATGGCGGCAGGGTAAGGGTTAAAGGAAGCATGTACTGATAAAATACAGTGGCTGCCATTGCTGATATTTCCTTCTAAAGATGCATGTTGCTTAGTTGTTATGGCGATCCACTGAATTTAAAATGGACCTGAACTCAAAAAGAGAAAGATCTGCTATCTTAAAGAGGACAACAAAAAATATTAAATGTGCCTAAGGAGTACCCTGAAAATAGCAGTGTAGTTGTGCCTGGAGCCTCATAGCTATATAAATGCAGTGTGAGATCTAAGGCACTGCTGCGTCTCACTGCTAGTCACACAGGAAGAATGGGGAAATCTATCTAATGAAGCCCCAAGTAATAGTATAAAAATCCAAAAGGGAATCGAAACCTTCTCCACTCCACTCTGAAATTAAAAATAAAAGATGTAGCCTGGACACTTTATTATGAGCCCACAAACTTACAGTCATTAAAAAAAAAAAAAAAACTTCATGCCGGGTTTATCTTCCTACAGCTGCTTTTCCTCCACACTGCCATCTTTAAATATCCTGCACGTCTGTAAATGTGCTGTAAGTCTCTGCTGGGGATTCGGGACCTGGCACAGACCTATAGCATGTCAGCACACATGCTGGTTTCTGGTATCTGGGACCTTGTAGAGACCCATGACATGCTGTGGGTCTCTGCCAGTACCCAAATACTTGGCAGAGAGCTGCATCCCCTCTTCCTTTGGGACCTCCGCCACCACCCGGGAAGCCCACATCACACATCCCAGGAAGAAGCTGCGGTCCAGACATAATTCTAGCCTACGTGAAGAACCAGGACAAAAAGGTACCAAACGTTTCGAAAACAACTAAATATATTCCCGGTGCATCAAAACAGACAAAACTTACAGTTAGTTTTCTTTAGAAAGCAGCTACAAACTGGAAAGCAGCCCGTAGATTATTGAAAAGTAGAAAAGCCTGTCCCCTGCCAGTATGCTGCAAAGAAGGACCCGAAGCAGTGGTGTATCTGCAGAAGACCCCATGCTGAGTCAGACCTACAACTAAGCAAACAACAAAGCTCATACTCCCTGACTCCCTTGGACCTCTGAAGAAAACACTGAGAGCAAGGGTCCTTTCTCTATAGCATGCTGATAGGGGACAGGCTGTCCTACTAGGCACTACAGGGGAAAGTCGGGGATAGAGTAAGAATTTTTGTTGTCTTTTTGTTACTTTCATGCTGATATTAGGTATGGTGGAGGGGGCCCATATATATTAAGCAGATCTTGCTTTTTACTGTGAGGTCCGCTATAAGAGTTTGGTTTTCTGTAACCACAGAATTTAAGAGAATAAAGCACATTTCAACATTTTGAACCTTCTAAGAAATAAAGAAAATCCAGCCTTCAGAATATAAGCTAAGCATTTGAGTCAAT